ATTTATATTTTATTCTGTGATAATTCTGGGGTGGCAGATGGGGTGGCACAGCTTTTTCTTAGGGTGGCAGTTGCCACTACGGTAGATCCGCCCCTGCGTACAGGGTGCCATTGCTTTCAATAAGAAACCTTTTACATCAAACACAGAATATCACCATGATGAAATTAGTGGTGTATCAATAAATACCTGTAAATAAATATTTATACAATACATAACCGTAGTCTTATGGAGTTTTATGTTGTTAAAAAGTGGGTAGGTGTAGGGATTATGGGGTTATGAAAGTATGAATATTATACACTTAATATTTTTGTGAATAAAAGCAAATTAGACCAATATACATTTTTATCTAATTGATTAAAAAAAGTTATGACCAGTCTTAAAGAAAAAAAAAATATGACTAACTTGTAAGACTTAGCTACTTAAGCATTTTATGCAATGAACAGCCTAGCCAAATTTCTTTGACCACATCTCACACATAAAGTATGCTCTGTCTGTGTATTTAAGACATTGTGTCAAGTCAAAAGAAGTTGAACTTTTTAAAAACACTTTCATTTTTTCATTTCATTGTGATTCATCCCTTTCCTGTGTGAACAAGCCTGTAGGTAGTAAATTTGGATTGTCTTCTTTTAGTGACAGGTCATTTTTGCGGTTTCCCTGTGACTGGTGAACACACTCCTACAGATTCAAATGAAAACTTATTCACAGTGTTGTTATTGTCCCCTTCCTATTGTCAGCACGGATGAGACTGAATTATATATATATATATATATATATATATATATATATATAATGTATACTTTTACATGTGCAAAGAATTACATGCATCGTTGAGATGACGCATAAGGAAAACAATTGAAAGCAATTAAGTACCCTGTATGTCGAAAAATGACGTTAAATGGATATCCTGAGCGTTAAACTGTGACCCCAAGGGATCCTGAATAAGTGAGGAGTTGGGAGTGAAAACGCCCTGGTCTGGTCCCCTAGAAGTCTGACATCTGCTAGATCCATATTTAATTTGTTTTTAGGTCACGGGCAAGGAAGATGAGGCAAAGCGGACCAAAATTGCAGCACTATTACTTTAATAAACTAAACAAAATGATAATCCAAACAGGATATAATTCACAGATGGCAAACACTCATAACAGTAATAGCTAAACATAAACAGTGCCAGACCAAGCACTGAGCGAGCTGAGGGTAATTTACATACGAGGTAATGAACAAAACAAGAAACAATTATATTCAGTATGCATACAGAGCTAACAGGTCAACTGACGATGCCATCAACACAGCTCTCTACACCGCGCTGAATCATTTGGAGCACCAGGGAACATTTGTAAGGATGTTGTTTGTGGACTTTAGTTCCGCATTTAACATTATCATTCCCAGCAGAATGGTCACCAAACTGCTTAACCTGGGTGTCAGTGATTACATATGTTTCTGGGTAAAGGATTTTCTAACAAACCGCACACAGTCTGTCAGGCTGGGGAGCCATCACACAAC